GAGTGTGTGAGCGAGTGAGTGAGCGAGTGTGTGAGCGAGTGTGTGTGTGTGTGTGAGCGAGTGTGTGAGTGAGTGAGTGTATGAGTGTGTGTGAGTGTGAGAGTGGGAGGTGAGCTTTGTTGGATCTGGTCTGAGCTGCCTGAAGCCTACACCAGTCTAACTGCTCCTCTCCTGCTCCCTGCTGTCACAGGCCTTGGCAAACTGTTCTCGAACCCAGACCTGCGCAGGATCTCGTCCATGCCTCTGGTTGTGTCCAGTATTCAGCACAAGGCAATACTGGAGCTGAAAGAGGAGGGAGTACAGGCTGCTGCTAGCACAGGCATTGCTGTCAATCGCTCCTTCATGAAGTGTACCATCAACAGGCCATTTTTCTTCATCATCCGCGATGATATCTCCGGAATCCCCATCTTCCTTGGGACTATCAAAGACCCAAAACCACAACTTCAGGCTGGAACCCATGAGAAATTGGTGGTGAATCTTGAGAGAATGAGGAAGGTAAAAGTGGTGACAAATCCCAAGTGAGATCTCAGCTGGGCTCTGTTGGTGGGATCTGCTGGTAGCGTCTGGTGTCAGTCCAATCTGGTGACATCAGGTTGCAGATTTTTTTTAAACAAATGAATAAACAATAATTCGCACTGTCTCCTGATTTGCTCCAATTATTTGCCCATGAATTTGTGGAGCTGAATTGAATCTTGGACACTGGTTCCACATGTGTAATGTGGATTGTTATACAGGAAGTACATTGATGATATTGAGTGGGTGAAGACTGTATCTATAGCATGTCCCTTAGTCTTCATCACAAGGGTATTTGAGTTCACAAGTTAAGATATCTTGCCGGAGCTGGACAAGGCCATGGTGAGACCATGCCTGGTGGGGTAGATGAGGTAATGGTGAGCTGGTAAAAACTGAAAGAACTGCGGATGCTGTAAATCAGGAACAAAAGCAGAAGTTGCTGGAAAAGCTCAGCAGGTCTGGCGGCATCTGTGAAGGTAAAATAATGTTTCGGGTCAGTTCTGAGGATGGGTCACCGGACCCGAAACATTAACTCTGATTTTTCTTCACACATGCTGTCAGACCTGCTGAGCTTTTCTAGCAGCTTCTGTTTTTGCAGTTGTTGGTGAACAATGTGCTGCTAATATCATTACATGAGTATTACAGAGCCCCAAACTAATGTTCTGGGACATGACTTCAGATCCCACCATGCAGATGGTGTGAAATTAAAAGCTGGCCTAATGGTGACAGTGTAACCATTGACAATTGTTAAATCTCACCTGGTTCACTAATGCCCTTTAGGGAGGGAAATCTGCCATCCCTCCCCAGTCTGGCCCATGTGTGACTCCAGACCCACAGCAATGGGATTGACTCTTCACTGTTCTCAGGGCAGTTGGGGAATGGACAATAAATGCCGGCCTAGCCAGCATGAACAAATAAAAATTAGATCTGTCCTCCCCCACCAAGAAAGGATCTACGTGCTGTTGAGAGAGTATAAGAACGGTTCCACAGCAAGCCAATGTCTGCGATAGTGGGACTGACCCATGAGGAGAGAGCAAGCAGTTTGGGCATGTAAAATCTGGAGTGCGGAAGATGGATCAGTGACCTTGTTGATGCAGTTTTCATGGTCGGTGTGACAGAGTGAGTGCAGGAAAGCTGCTTCCATTCACCCCTCCCACCCCCCACGACAGGGGCAAGAAACAAACAGTGACCCATTCCACAGCAGGAAATACTCAGGTGGGCGACCAGATCGTCCGTAGTAGGTTTGAAGGACCCTTTGGGAGAGAGAGGCAAAAAGGTTCAAGGAGGAGGTTTCTGAGCTTCTGAAAGTGCAGTGACCAATGATGGAGTGACGAGAATTGTAAATTTCCAGGAACGGGTGGAGGATGTTGGTCAAACAGAAGGAAGACAGAAACCAGAGAAGCATCAAACCAGTTGCCAGCTGTTTCCCATCTCCCAGGATTTCAATGTGGTATCTTTCAACTATCACAACCCACTTGAGAAACTGACTGATTCTCAAGGCCCACTCGCTAGTGCCTCTGGAGTCATCACAGAAAGTAATGATGTGATCAGCTCTCACAATGAGCCTGATTTACCAGCCTGATAGTATCGCGGTACTGAGATAAACCAACCAGAATCCTGCACCTACCAGGAGCTACTATTTATCACAAATAGGTGCATTCTAATCACAAATACACAGTTATGAACTATCACCATACAGTTATGCCAGTTAAATATGTAAGTCCCTTTTAAGTCCCAATACACTCTCACACAGAGACAAACAAAAAAGACATTGGTTTTATGGATGGAGAGGAAAATCGGGGAAACACAGTTCAATAGCATCAATCCACAGATGTTCCTTTGTTTAGATGTTCCTTTGGTTTGCCAAGATTTATTGTTATTTAATCTGTTTTCTGCAGGTCTTTCAGTTCTTCATGGAGGTACAGGATTATTGGTACACTAACTTAGTCCCTTGGTTACTAGAAAAAGGGAACAGGTTATAACAACCAGTGAGAGAAAAACAACTGGCTTTCATCAAGCTTCAGGTATTTTTACTGCAGAGAGAGAGTGACATACACTCTGTCTCCCTTTCCAGCAGTCCAAAGGCTTCTACAAGCTGTTCAGCTACCCAGAATCAGTTAGAGGATTGTCATCAGACTGATGATCTCTGGTATCCACAACTGGTTCGAATTATACAGACCAATCAGCTACATGTTGCTGGCCAAATCTCTGTCTGCATACAGCCCCTGGTGATGGCTGTCTACATGAATAAACAGTGGTATAAACACCACCTAATTAATTTCAGTTACTTGTGTTTAAAAGTATAGCAATTCTTTCTATAGTCCTAGGTTTTAAAACAGTCCTTTTTCCATTTCAGTCTGCAATCAAAAATACAGGAAATAAAATGAGAAGGTCAGTACACAGTTGAGATGACAAATTGAGGTCCTGTTTGCTCTCTTGGGGGATATTGAAAACTCACAGCCACTATCCCAGGATGTGGAAGGGGTGGGCAATTTGTTCCCTGTCTCTCAGCCAATGTCTCTTTTTCAACCAGCATCATAAAAAGTTAACTGTTTCATTATTGTTTGTTGGATCTTGCAGTGCAAACTAACTGTGTTTCCTATATTGCAACAGTGACTACATTTCAAAATACTTCATTGGATTTACATTGCTTTGGGACATCCTGGACTAGTGAAAGGTGCCATGTAAATGTAGACTGTGTCTGTGCCCATGGGGCATTGTTAATGGGACAGAGTGAGCACAGCTGGAAGAATGAGTATAGCACAGAGCAGGGCTGTGCCTGTCGTGTGAGAGTGGCAGGTAGTATTATCACACAGGTTCCTGAACAGATTGGCCTGTACCTTTAAGGGCACCACCACATGTGATGTTCCAGTAAAACTGCAGCTGCCTGACCTTCAGTCATTGCCTCTGTGTATTGGAGATACATGTGGTCAGTCAGTCAGAGAGTTATGTGTGTCATATACGGGAACATCAGCAACGACAGAACCCAGAGATTGTGTGTGAGCTTGTGGCATTTCACAACGTCCCAACCATAAGCCGATATGTCAAATGAGCAAACAACGTGGTGGCCCCGACCGGATCACATTAATAGTGGGGTTTGACACATGACACTGCATCATGTTGGCAGCCAGTGCCCATTCAAAGCCAGTGGCATTCAGTTAGCTCTAAAAAGTGATGAATGCAGTGGGAGTGGTGAAGTCTTTATCTTCTGAGCAGCTCTTGCCCATCATCTGCCTGAGGTCAGGGCTGTGGTTATTTGTGAACAACTGAGACAGAGTGCTAGAGCACATAGTGCAGAACAGAAACTCAAGTGAGAAGGAACATCTTTAAGAAGGAAGGGCAAGCTACAGATAATCTAATTCAAAACGTGTCATTTTAAAGATGCATTTGGCAATTCCAATTTGTTGAACTGGTCCTTGAATGAAGTACAGCCCAAACACTAAAACAGACTTTTCCCACGTTTAAGAGGACATACCTTTGTCAATATGTCAGTCATTTCCACAATCCTACTTCTAGGATACTGCATGGAAATGTTACAAAGACCTGTGTGACATCACCACCCTCAACCCGGCCTGAACTCCCACCTCCATACAAAACAAATGAGAGAAATTAAAAAAAGATCAAGCATTACTCTGTGATACAGATCCTCGTACTGACAGTTTTAAAGAGCACAAAGAAAACAAAACAATGAAAAACAAACATTTAAACATGGATTGGCACTCCATTGACATACTGTCAAACTCTCTGCTATTTGAAGAAATAATTCACCTTTATTTCTGAAAATAGCTGATACAAAATGACAATCAGTCAAACTTGTTATTGCTTTGAGAAATGATTGAATAAGAGCCAAATCCTCTGGTATTTCTAATCAGATTTCTATAAAATTTCCAGATTTTAAAAGATGGGCTTAAAGTTTGAGTTTAGCCAATGGAGACAACGGACCAGTTGACAGGGAGGTGTTGAGTGAAAGGTCTGAAATGGGATTTCACCAGAGCTGACTCAGTTGAAGGCTCATGGAAATACACTATGCTACTAAATCCTTCAGAAAGGGCCTCCTGAACAACTCTAATTGTACAGTCATCCAGTACAAAAATATGCTACTACCTACACTAGTCCCACATTCCCACACTAGGCCCATAGCTTAAATGTTATGACACTTCAAGTGCTCATCCAAGTACTTTTTAAAGGTTGTGAGGTCTCCCACCTTAACTACACTCCCAGGCACTGCATTCCAGACCCCATCACACTCTGGGTGAAAAGATTTTCCTTAAATTCCTTCTAAACCTCCTGTCTGTTATCTTAAATGTACGTCCTGAAAGAGTATATCATTGACCCACTGCTAGATGAAGGAGGCAAATTGGAAACAGTTGTAACTGACCAACAACATCTTCTGTTGCATGCCCTTCCAACCCAACAATTTTACAGCAGCTCAGCGGGGCCCTCAAACCTTGTGTGTTGTGTGGCTTGTCTCTTCCAAAGCGTCCAATGTTTTGTGACATGTGCAGGAGGACATTGGGCAGAAATTTATGAGAAATTGAAACCCCTGGAGAAGCCCAAAGAGAAACAACACATGAAGAGTTAACCAAGGAACAATGTTGTCGAGGATCTTTCCAAACTTCCATCCATAGCAGGAGCACATCAACAAAGTCTAAGATGTATTCGCCATGTAACAACTGACAGACCCCAATCAGAGCATACGCACCGTCACCATGGCAACCTATCAACAATTGGGTTGTGTGGCTGGAAAAGAGGGAAATGGAATTCAATCCAGAGAAATGTGAACTCCACCATGTTGGGAAGAACAGACAGAGCACGGGGAACACACACTACAGCAGCGATCATTGAGATGGGAAGACGGAGTGATAGATGTTGAAGTGCAAGTTTACAGGTCCCCACAGGCTGATAAGGTGATAAAACAGGCAGTTAGAACATTCCTTCACCGGGGGCGGGGTGTGGTATTCCATGTAAGAGCAGGAATGTAATATTGGAATGATATAAGAAACCGGTTAGGTCACAGTTGGAGGTTTATGTACAGTTGTAGTCATCGCATCACAGCATGACTAAAACTGGTACCGACATTTACAACAATATTGTCAGGGGGTGAAAATTGCAGCTCTGATGAAGTTG